TATTGAGATGTAAATTATTGGACAGGTTGTTAATATAATGCCGTCATTCCCAATTTTATGGGTAGGTCAAATTACAAAGGAGACTCTGCCGAAATTTACATTTGCATTATTCAATAATATTGCATTTTAATTTCAATTATATTAGCGTTAGCATATTACTTTATACCTAGGAAAACAGGTACTACAAACATATACAAGGAAATTATTATATTATAATTAAAAAAAAAATCACCTCATTTGCGTCACTCATTAAACAAACAAGTGACGCAAATACAACAATTTTGTATTGTCTACTCAGTCATTTGCGTCACTCCTATATAAAAAAGTGACGCAAATAACAAAAAATAAGTTTATTAGAAGAGTCATTTGCATCGCTTGTTTATAAAGGAGCGACGCAAATAACAAAAAAGTTTATCTGAAGAGTCATTTGTGTCGCTTGTTTATAAAGGAGAGACGCAAATAACTATAAATAAGTTTATCATAAAAGTCATTTGCGTCGCTCTTTTATAAAGGAGTGACGCAAATAACAAAAAATAAGTTTATCAGAAGAGTCATTTGCGTCGCTTATTTATAAAGGAGCGACGCAAATGACAAAAAATAAGTTTATCAGAAAAGTCATTTGCGTCGCTTATTTATAAAGGAGCGACGCAAATGACAAAAAATAAGTTTATCAGAAAAGTCATTTGCGTCGCTCTTTTATAAAGGAGCGACGCAAATGACTTAAAAGTCATTTGCGTCGCGAGCAATTGCGTCGCTCATAGAAGCGACGCAAATACACTATAAATGAGCGACGCAAATAAGCCTTTTTCTACTAGTGTCTATTTATGAAAAACGTCCAATCCAGTTTAGTTTGGTCCATGATATGAGTCCAATAATGGTGTAGTTGGATGGGTCTTGAAAAGACATTCTCAAAAATATATTATAAGTCCAATTCCGATGAATAATGAGGAAGTAGTTATGGTCAAAATACTAAAATGGGCTCAAACCGGATTTTACCTACAACCCAATGATCATGTGGAGGGTCCAAAGGTTTAATCTCATTACTAAACTAATTAGGAATTATTAGAAGCTTCTATAAGTCTCTGAAAGATATTAATTATCCTTTTTTGAAAAGATAAGATTAAAGAATTCGAAATTGAATAAAACTTCTGTTTTTGAAAGTCCTTGTTTTGTGCGAAATGGAATATGTTCAAATATTATTTTCGTGCCTCATAATTTTTATCCAAATATTATATGGATGGATAGATCTTGAAATTATCTTTCCAATAATATACTTCCTCCGTTTCTATTTAGTTGACGCGTTTGATTTAGACACATATATTAAGGAGAGGAGAGAGAGTGAGAGAATGAAAAAGTAAATGGGGTACCTTGTAAATGCAAGATAAAAAATTTACCCAAAAAGGAAACGTGTCAATTTAAAACAACTTCCTAAAAAGGAATACGTGTCAACTAAAAAGAAACAGAGGTAGTAATATAATATTAATTCCGAGCTATAACGAAAAAGATATGAAAGAAATACGAAACTCTATCCAAAACTAACACCCTTCCACTATTTTGAACACATCTTTTAATCTACAAAAGATTTTAATCTGATTCTAATTAGGTTGTAAAGTATACTTCAAGATCTTTTCAACGATATATTATATGACTTATTTGGACTTCTGGATCAAAAGATAAAAACAAAATCTGCAAAAACTAGTTTAGAGTAACAACGCTCTGGCCCCCAATATATATAGACAATAGGAATATCTAACCCTATTATTCCTAAATATTTTAAATTCCTAAACCTATTCACAATATCCCACATATATCTTTTCACAATAATATCTCATATGATATACTCTCATAATATCATATCACAATATATGTTCCTATCTCAATATAACATCCTCCAATCTTTTTTTAGTGCAAGCATACTTGGGTATTTCAATGTCTACTAAAGTTCAACTAATTTGAATTAGAATTAGGTCAGGTCTCAAGTAGAGGGAGAGGGAAGGGGGGGGGGGGTGAGGGAGCTGTACTAACAAGTATTGTTGTGTTCCCAAGTTTCAAAACACTTGTTGGTTTAGAAACTCCCTTATTAGATTGAAACAACTCCCTTACTAATTAATAAACACTTGTTGGTTTAGAAACTCCCTTATTAGATGGGGCATTTACTTATTTATTATTAGAACTATGAGATGGGCTTATTGTGCAAATATATACTTCCTCTATTTTTATTTTATTTTATTTTATTATATTTGTAACACTTATCTTTTTCACGCTTGTCGATCAATAATTTCAAGCATTAATATCTTTAGTTACTAGATATAAGCCCGTGTGATGCACGGTTTTTAAATATTTTATTTTGTATATTTTTTTTGTAATTTCTTAATATTTTTTGTTTTTATTTTTTATTCTATTATTTTAACATTAATTTAAGGTAAAATATTTTGTTAAGTTTTAAATTATTCTTATTCAAATTTTACGTATATAGAACTTGAATTTATAAATTGAAATAAATATTTCTCATTCATCGGATAGTTAGATAAAATCATTAAATCAAAATATATTTTTTAATTTCTAATATTTATTAAAATAATATAAATCCTAATGTAAAAGATAATATAAAAGATAATTTTTGTTTTTTTTTTCAATTCTCAAATTTCATTTGTTAATTTTTTGGCGACTGAAAATTTAAATTCTAAATTAATATATAAATCTAATTTTTCATTGGTCGAAATATTACTTTTGCTTATGTGGCGTGCGATGCACGAATTTTTATATACATTCTGTATATAAATAATTTTTTTGGTGATCTCTTAATTTTTTTCTTGCATTATAAGTTTTAAAATTTTGTATGAAAATATCATATCACTAGATATTTACATAGAACCATTAACATCAAATGATAATTTATATTTTTTAAATATCAAAATATAAATTTTAGTTTTTTAAATAATATAAATCCTAATATCTAAAGATAATTTTTAGTTTTGTAACAAATAAAAATGATAAAATTTAGTATTCTTAAATAATTAAAATCCTAATAAATTACTATTCGTCGTTTTTACCTACGTGGAAAAAATTTAAAATTTCATTCGTCACTTTTGTTTAAGTAGCGAGTGATTTTTTTAATTCTAAAATAAAGTAGAAATCTAATTTTTAATTGGTCGAAAATATACCTTTGTATATAAATAATTTTTTTGGTGATCTCTTAATTTTTTTCTTGCATTATAAGTTTTAAAATTTTGTATGAAAATATCATATCATTAGATATTTACATAAAACCATTAACATCAAATGATATTTATACTTTTTAAATATCAAAATATAATTTTTAGTTTTTTAAACAATATAAATCCTAATATCTAAAGATACTTTTTAGTTTTGTAACAAATAAAAATGATAAAATTTAGTGTTCTTAAATAATTAAAATCCTAATAAATTACTATTCGTCGTTTTTACCTACGTGAAAAAAATTTAAAATTTCATTCGTCACTTTTATTTAAGTGGCGAGTGATTTTTTAATTCTAAAATAAAATAGAAATCTAATTTTTAATTGGTCTAAAATATACCTTTCATATGTGGCGCTCCCAATGCTCTCCAAAAATCCCATGCGATGCACGATTTTTAAATATTTCATTTTGTATATATATATATATATATATATATATATATATATATATATATATATATATATATATATATATTTGTAATTCTTAATAATTTTTTGTTTTTATGGTAAAAATTTTTGTTAAGTTTTAAATTATTCTTATTCAAATTTTACGTATATAGAACTTGAATTTATAAATTGAAATAAATATTATCTCATTCATCGGATAGTTAGATAAAATCATTAAATCAAAATATATTTTTTAATTTCTAATTATTTGTTAAAATAATATATATCCTAATGTAAAAGATAATAAAAAAGATAATTTTTGTTTTTTTTTCATAATTTTTTTTCATAATTTAAAGCTTAAATTACTATTTTTTTTGTTTTCAATTCTCAATTCTCAAATTTCATTTATTAATTTTTTCTTAAATAGAGATGAAAATTTAAATTCTAAATTAATATATAATTCTAATTTCTAATTGGTTGAAATATTTTTTTTGCTTATGTGGCGTGCGATGCACGAATTTTTATATTCCTTTTTTTTATATAAATATTTTTTTGGTGATCTCTTAATTTTTTTTCTTGCATTATAATTTTAAAATTTTGTATGAAAATATTATGTCTTTTAACCAATTAACATCAAATGATAATTTATATTTTTTAAATCAAAATATACTTTTTAGTTTTTTAAATAATATAAAGATAATTATTAGTTTTGTAACAAATAAATGAAAAAATTTAGTGTTCTTAAATAAGTAAAATCTTAATAAATTACCATGCGTCGTTTTTACCTACGTGGCAAAAATTTAAAATTTCATTCGTCACTTTTGTTTAGGTGGCGAGTGATTTTTTTATTTCTAAAATAAAATAGAAATCTAATTTTTAATTGGTCGAAAATATACCTTTTCTTATGTGGCGCTCCTAATGCTCTCCAAAAATGCCTACTTTATATATATATATATATATATATATATATATTAGATTAGATTAGTATGTAAAAATTATAAATATTTGACAATATGATAAATCGAGACGAATCTAACAAGATCCAACACTATATTTGTACTTACATATAAATCATTAAAAATAGTCAAAGTAAAACATATAAATAATGTAAAAGTTAAACTGTTGCAACTATAAAATAAGGATGAAATTTGAGCTTGTTACCAAACCAAAACCATGAAACACTCTCTAGAAACCCAAATTATGGAAGTCTAATCACAACATTTACAAACACACAATCCTTGAACTTTCTAGAAACAATACTCTTGCTCATTCCCCAAAATCAACGGCCAATTATTGATCATCAAATCAATCAAACATCACTTCCATAAAACATCAACGGCTGAAAATCAAACTTCCCATCTTACTCCAATTAAAGCATAATCAAACACAAGTATACAACACGCCGTTAGATCTCTATAACTCATCTGACTTAGTTTAAACTGAAACTTTGTTTCTTTGTATCTCTATCTTTCTCTCTCTTCTCAGCTTATCCATGGCTTCCACCGCTGCATTCGTCACTTTGGCAAAGCCCTTATCTTTACCCACCAACAATTTTTATCGCAACTCTAACCAAACAATATTGGGTACCCATTTATTTAATTTCGTTTTGCAGATTAAATCTCTAATTTATTCATATTTTTAGGCAATTTTTACCTGTATTTCTGTTTTTTTTTTTTCAGGGTTAAGAAGAAATTCCCTTAAAATTAATGCAGTTGCTACAAAATGGGAACCCACTAAGGTATTTTTACATTTTTTTTTTCTGGGTATTGATTGAATATGGAATTTTATGGCATTAATTCTTAATTTTAGTGTAATTTATTCAATTTTGATTTTTTTTTTTTTGGTAGGTTGTTCCTCAGGCTGATAGAGTGTTGATTCGACTTGAGGAGCTTCCTGAGGTATAATGTTTATCTTAGCTATTTTGTTGTGTTATATTGTTCTGTTTAATCTTAAACTTGGAAATTTTGATGCTTTGGTTTTGTTTAAAATTTTCTGATTGGATAAGATAATTGATTAAAAAGGAATATGATGATATAATCCTCAATCTGAATGAATACATGGGTTGTATATTTATATTATTTCAAAGAATTGAAATTTTATGATATAATGTTTCCTTTATCAAAATTTGACCAATATGCAAAGCTAAAGTTTTCCACTTTTAGGTTAAATTAGGATAATGCTGTTTAATTTTACCTAACAAGTGTTTGTATTAGCTGTAAGGGAGTTGTATTTGTTAGGAGAGTTTAGGAGTGCTATCCCAATTGGGATGACTCGAATTCGGATTAGTTGGAGTATTTAGATTGCCGGGATGAGCTGAGTCCTTTGCTAGCTATTTCATTTACTGCGAAATATACTTGAGCAATGTAGATGACTAATTAGTTTATCATTTGTGCACCAAGACTGTTTTCCGGTATAGAAACCATAATGAGTGATATGTCCTTTGGAGGGGAAAAAAATGTTTAATCATGGTCTAGTTATGCTGGTATTAGGTTGAAGGTTGAACAGTTGCAGTAAGCCTGTATCGATTAATTAGCCTGAGTTCCTTAAAAGATGGCTCTGTGATACTTTATTTTGAATAATGAAAATCAAATAAAGATGATTGTTGTTGAAAAGCTGTGTATGTCCTCATTATGTGACTATCCATTATGTTTCTCGATTTAGTTATTGGTGATTCGCGAGGCAGGGTGAGTTTTTATCTCCGCAAGCCTATCCTCTAAAAAATAGGACCTTATATGTTGTCCCTTCTGTAAATCTCCTAGCTAAAGCATTCTTATTACTGCCATCACTTCTGTGCTTTTATTGCTCCGAAGATCACCCTATGTAGCAAAGTAGCATAGTCATATGTATTACTTCAAGAACTGTTTTAGTTATGAATTTGAATCTGTAGGCCTTCTGACTTGGTTGGTGTTGCAACGCATTTTGAGAGCCTTTTCAGTCTATAGCTTGGTATTTTCTGCAATTTGTGAAAGAACAGAAGCTAGACCAAAAACTCTCACACTCTAGATATGGAAATACTTAGTGAGCGAGTCTTTAAAGCTGGATCAGCTGTTATTCTTTATATAATACTAAAGTTGGATCAATTTTTATTCTTTGGAATTTGCATACTGGTGCCTTCTTGTCCTTGTGGTTCCGTGGTCTATGATACACATGGACTTTTAAAAGATCTGGTTTCACACATATTATATCTGATTTCTGATGTTTTTGAGCTATCTTGTCTTACCTATTTGTTTGGAATGTTCTCATTAGAAATCAGCCGGTGGAGTTCTTTTGCCCAAGTCAGCAGTGAAGTTTGAGAGGTACCTTATGGGAGAGGTATGGAAGTTCTAACTTTTTCGATTTCATTTCTTAACTTGTGCAGAGTACAAATTATAATATGCTGATCAAAATTATGTTTCCTGTTTACAGATTCTCTCTGTTGGCTCTGATGGTGGGGAAGTAGAGGCTGGAAAGAAGGTATGATTAAGAAATAGTCCATTTGCCTATCTAATTACTAATTAGGCAACTAACGAAATGTCTTAAAATATCCTTGATGAGTAAACTACATATACTCTCAAGTAAGGTTACTATCCACATTTCACCCCGTGTTAGCTGCCTAATAGTTTGGCTAATTACTTAGATGATGCACAATGTCACTGAGATTTCTTGAATTCTTTTCTAGCAAAGATTTCATGGTTGTTCTGTCGTTTGTTTACTTTCTAATTTATTGTCTCATGCAGGTTCTTTTCTCTGATATAAGTGCCTATGAGGTGGATCTAGGAACAGATACTAGGCATTGTTTTTGCAAAGAAGCAGACCTCTTGGCTGTAGTTGAGTAGATGGTTCAGACGGCAGTTTATGTATGACTGGCTTCTGTTGATTTTGGCCTTAGGTTTTAGATCCTTTCGTTCATCAATGGTGAAATTTCAGATGTATTCATTTTCAATATAAGAGAATTATGATGCTCTTTTAATCAAGGTCTCCTTTTTTATATTGTGCTTTGACAATGTACACAATGTTTAAATTCAATTATTTGGCTGATGGGTTGCGATTTGCAATGCAAAATCAAATATAAAGGGATCAAGAGATGGACAAATATAAAAACATTGGAACTTACCAATTACTTGCCATGGTCTCGACTCCGTGTAATTTTAAGATGTATCTAGATTCTAGAGATACTAGTATATTATATATATATATACATAGATATTCTTAATGTTAGGAATTTCACGCTTGTTAATGCATTTTTTTATATATATAGTAATGCCTTCAATATTAATAATTTGAATGTACATATCAAAAAAAAAAAAAATTAACAAAGCCTCACTTAACTATGTTTATTCTCCAATATTGTGATTTTAAAAGAACGGGGAAGTAATTCATAAATAAATACAATGTAAAATATAAATTTTTATATAAGATTTACGACTTCCATGGAAGGATGAAGTTTCAATGCCCTTGAAGCTTTCTTTATGATCTATATTTGCCTTTCCTTTTCTTCTTCATGCACCTGTTAATCATCGACTTATTCTGTTTCTATAAACCTCCAATACATCGGACACTAGCCGATCATCAATAATAAGTAGCCACTTTGTTTCCATAACCTCCTGTAATTTGAATGCATAAGCCATATATTTGTGTCTGGTTCAAAATTTACTTTTCTCTTTTTTCCTTTTATGAGCAATACGAAACACACCATTAGCTCCAAGTATAGTAAAGTGTGAGACCAAAATAGGGGCTCTAATAAAACTAGTTTAGAGTAACAACGCTCTGGCATCAATGCCACAAACTAACAAAATACTTGATCAACCAAGATTTTGTACATGGCTAACCTAACAGCATCTAAAATGCTTTTTGACAAATTCCCGAAATTACTATCCTCTCAGATAATTGAAGGTAAGGTAATACAAGATCCTTGGAAATGGAATTAAAATTCGTACACTCTCAGCTCAATCATTCCTTCTTTCCTCTTCGGTGAGTACCATGCCACGACTTTACCTGAACGTAAGAGTCGCAGTGAATAGCTCAAGCTGTAAATGAAATCCTCAATTTGCAAGCCATTTTTCCATGGTGAGTCGACTACACACTTTGTATCAGCGCGGAACACAATTGGTCCTGCAACCTGCACCAAGATGAGGGATGTAAAAAGGTTGCCCATGAGAGAGTTAACAATAATTTAGTGCTAAACTGGTTAGTATTTTCTTCATGGCTATTGGCTTACTTCCCACTTCCTAGTACATTAAAACAAAACCACATGGCTGGGCATATCTCAATATCCGTCCCAGTACATCTAAATGTAGCCACATAACTGCACGATACTTAAAATTAAGAAAAAATATATATAACCAGATATTTACTTGATCATCTCTTATCATCCTAATGTCCTAAGTTCATTTCCTTAAAGTCTTTAACAGATCTACTTAGAAGAGTGGGTTCGTCAAGAATATAATAAGGAGCCTGATACTTATATTTTCAATTTAACCAGTTCCTTATTTCACATTATCTTTAGTTCAGAGCTCAGAAGTAAGATAATCAAGGCTTATCACCAGACAAAGCAGGAAACAGAGCATATCCTACAGGTTTCAACTTTAAATTCTAATTGAAGAAACTGTGTTCACTGAAATTTACCTGCTGCTGGAAGATCAGACTGAGTCTAGGAAGGGATGCCGAGTTATCCTGGTGAGCAATTGAGCTATGGCTAAATACGCGTGAGATGTTTTTAGCAAAAGCAGAAGCTGAACTGATATCCAAACGAGCATCTACCCTAGTCATATCCCCATATGGCTTCCTGAACTTTCCGTGCTGGAAAGTGTAGCACAACGAGCCAAACAAATCAGCGAAGACAGGACTCCTTTTCTTGGAACTTGAAGGGATGCTATCACCATCTCCTGAGGCAGGATTTGATATCTTGTCTTCGCCATGAAGCCAAGCACCAAAGGTGCCACCTGATAGGTAACAAGTGAATGATACATATTCACACAACATCTAAGGGATAAATGAAACAGAAGTTCGGCTTGATTTTTGTGATCTGAATCAGAGCAGTGCAAGTTATCATGTCCAACAAATCCAGTAATTGCATTATAGGACATACCCACATCAAATTTGCTTCCAGTTAAAGTTGCCAAATTCAAGACAATGAACACTATTATTACAAAAGATGAAAGGTCTTTTACCTACAATAGTTGAAATTGATGCATGAGGTTCTTTGAGGCGCACATCATATGCAGGCCTCCAGAATTTTCCCCTCTCGGTTTTTATGATAAGATCATTATCTGTCTCCTCTTGCCTCCATAGATCCTTGCTCTTTTGAACTGAAAAAGCAGCTTTTGCACATACCCCAGGCAGCAAAGCAGCAGGTGGATCACTATCTATTGAGTTAACAACAGCTTGAGGTTTGCCACCATTCTTGTGTACCCCAAAACGATACCGTAATCCTGAGTCAGATATGATAGACGAACAATCCAGAGAGATTGACTCAGGAACATTCCAATATCTTCCTTTACTGTCAATAAATAGCTCTGGCCATGCTGCGTTCAATGTAATGTCATGATAGGGAAGCTGTACACAGTCAATAAATTTAAAGTCAGCTACAAGGCCTGCAGCTCCAGGTGTCATCTGGACACAATTACAGGAGCAGATTGCTAAATTATAAGCAAACAGAGAGTCAAAAGCACAAATGTTGGTTTTATATCAAATAAGTCTAGCTAATGAATCACTTTGACAGGGAAAAAAGGGTAAACTGAAAACAAATTAACATAGGGCGCTGTGGTTTTCTGACTCGAGAAATACAAATCTGATTCGCAATGTAATGTGGTTTATGCATTTAAATCATGGTCCTCTAAATTATCTTTGTCAGGAGCAAAAAGTAGCCAGAAGGAAGCACACCCGTGAGTGTACCATAATCACTGTTGATGAACCCGTGCGCATAGGCACGCCTTGGTGGGTCTCATTGAATTGAGGCACACTTAATAAATATAAGAAAATTTTGGTAAAAGAAATTTGTGCGTCTCTTTGAAAACGTGTCACCTAGCACCTAGAACCTCACCAAGAGCCTTGTGATGCCCTCTTATACACTGCCTGCTCTTGCTACAAAGCTAGTCTATTATCCATAGTCAACCACGCCTTGGGATAGCCCATACATCGACTATGGGATACAAAATCTAAAGGAAGGCTCACGGCCTTAGACGGTGCTTCACAGTTCAAATTGGGTAGCAAGAGTGAAGTTACACCAAAACAGAGGTCATCAGACCTCATCAGAGAGAAGAGCTCCAACCATCAATTGAAGCTGCAAGCAAGCATTGCTCCTTATTGTCGCAATTGAGGGAGGCAGCTCAAAGTTAATGGAGATGTATCACATGATGAAAGAAGAAAAAAAGGAAGAGTTCTAACAAAGTGTGGGGCACGAATATAAGGAATCTTAATTTGTGAAAAATTAACAAGTAAAAAAGCAAATGCAGAATTTACTGGAGATGACCTGGAGAAATATTAAATTCAACATAAAGCTACTTATTATACCGAGTAAGCAAGTACAGATGATCAAAATCTTTCAACCGGTGTGATTGCCAAAAAAAGAGTAGATTAAGGATCACTCACAGCACTGTTATGAGAATCTTGAACGTTAAGTTTCCCTTGTGATCTGAAGAGTTTTCCCAAAAGATAAAGGGACTAATGATGGAAAGTTACAGAAATGTAGAGAGCTGCACTACTGCTGCCAATCATGCTCATTGAAAGAGATAAGAATATCTAAGAACATAATAATTTTTTTTTATATAATATCTATCATAGAATTTGACCGGAGAAAGTACGAAAGAATGCAACAACAGGTGGGGAAAGTATTTAGATAGGGCAGATATTTGAAAGGTTGTAGTATTCTAGATTATAATAAACCAATAAGATATAGTTCTAAGAACAAAACTTTTTAAATACATAAAAAATATCATGACCATGATCACCTTCCAAATGCCTTGAAGATATATAATTAATAACTACAGATACATAATGTATTCCAAGGTTCATAATCATGATAGGATACATATTATGATAGGCAAACAAGTAAATCAGAGACTTACCTTGTGAAATAGTAGGAGTTTATTGCGGCATCCTTTCCTCTCACCATGGCCTTCTGAACTTAGATATAAGGAAGAATTGGATGTGATGGGGATATGGGTACATAAAGCCAAGGCATAGAGTGATTGGTCAAAGACATGTCTTGTCACATTCTTCACAGATGGAATTTCCGTTTCATCAGCGGTGAATGCGCTGAAGATCTCCCTTTTGATGTTAGACAACAACTTATTCGGACGCATCTGGCCAGCTAATCCAAGCCACCTAAAAGCAGAAAATAGTACCTTGTTGGTTAACAATCCACGCAATTAATAGTTATAGAAAAAAAATGGCACCAAAGATTTTAGGTTGAAAGAACTAATCCCAATGGACAACCAGCTCCAAAAGGAAAGAAGGAAACAGATCAGAGCTACATAATTGAGCACTAAGGTCTAAGTACACTCACTTATAAACTTTGATATAGAAGTTTAGCAAGCCTAACATGAGATGTCAACACATAAGTTTGGTTAACTTCTTGGAGATTTTATTGAGGAATTAGCATGGAATCATGACCCCTAAATGCAAACAGGATGATGCTTAAGTTGACACAAAGAAAAACTGAAAAAGTCAGTTCTGCATTATGGTTGTTTCTCATTTCACCTAGAGCATCACTCAGACTACAATAACGAAAAGAAGTTATCATTAAATACCTCAGCATGCAAGATCTAAGCAGACATGTCCAATTTTACACATACGCATCAGAGAACACACAGTAACTATTCAAAAAACACAAAAACGCACGGATATGATTAAATTATCTTTAATATTTCAAACTAATTGGGGTTCAGATGCTTTGGAAGACAATATAAAGATGAAGCATCCATAGCCAAATTTTCACTCATAAACTTGTTCCTGACATGAAAAGTAAACCAAGGTTATTAACTTCAAATGCACAGGAATTTACCACTTGCAAAAAATATGATGAGGATAGGACTAGGACAATAGGCAAGGTAACACATGCAGTCATGCCTCCTAAGACAAGAACAGTTCCACAATATGCTCTACGCATTTG